TTAAATTTTGGAACGTTCTACCACCGGACGGTAGACGATCAGCAACTTCAACAAGGGTTTATACCCCTTGAACCAAAAAACTTATCTTTCGGGATATAATACACAATCGTTGGCGACGCGCCCTAGCCAGGCCCGTGCAATCATGCGTTTTTGCAGTATTTCGTGCTATAGTAAGACCGCTCGGAAACCCAGTAGCTAGAATTTGTGATATACTGGTCCTCGAAGTTAATTCGAGAAGTTAATTGTGCAGCTACGTATTACTTCAACAGGGAATTTAAATTTTGAAAAGTTCTACCACCGGATGGTAGACGATCAGCAACTTCAACAAGTGTTTATATCCCCCTAAGCCACAAAACTTATCTTCCGGGATATAATACACAACCGTTGGCGATGCGCATCAGGCAGGCCTATGCGATCATAAGTTTTTGCAGTATTTCGTGCTGTAGTAAGACCGCTCGGAAACCCAGTAGCTAGGATTTGTGATATACTGGTCTTCGATGTTCGGGAAGTTAATTGTGCAACTACGTGTTACTTCGATAGGGAAGTTAAATTTTGGAAGGTTCTAACACCAGATGGTGAAAAATCAGCAACTTCAAGACTTTATATACCCTGAACCAAAATTGTCTTTCGGGATAATAATACATAACCAATAAAAAAGAAAAAAAAAAAACAGGTTGGGAAGTTTCTACACTGTGTTTTGTACTGAACGACGATACCTGGATCCGGAAAATCACACAGTGTAATCGATCAGGAAATGCAAATTTCAACACACAGCAGTGATTGATAAAAAAGCATCACCGAGTTTGAGCATGTAGCAAAAGACGGAACTGCGTTCAGTGCTTGAATACATTGGCGAATTCAGGAAGAAAAAGGGAGGGCAAGGGGTCTTTCGCCCCTCTCTTCCCTTCACAGAGGCTCAGGTAGCAGCTGTTTTACTGTAGAAAACTCTTTTCAATTCCCGTATCGCCTCCCTCCCCGTTCTCAGGAGATTCGCCTATTCTTGGATAAAATGCTTGAAGAAGACCCATTCGCCGTGCATGGATTCTTTGTTGCCTTTTTCTTACGCAAAAAACTTTGTAGTGTCCATTCTAAATGACCATTCTTAGGAGTATCACATGACCGCTATGCATCCCGTGCTCTTGACCTCGGCACGCAAACGCATATGACAGAAGTTTATGCGCTGTTACAGGAATTAGGTTACCCGAAACGAAAACATGCAGCAAGTCAAGCAACTTAGCCGTGTAGCCATTCATCCACTCCGCAGGCAATTACTAAACCTCGGCTCGTCCGGCGTCATACACGATTTGCGGGAATTTTTTTGGTGGTTAACTTTAGCCATGGTTTCCTGGTGTGGATGCGTAATCGGTTAGTTGCACTGAGATACTTACTGCTTCGACATTGCGCTTAAAGAGGAAGTGAAGAGGGGCTCAGATGTTCCTTTGCAGGCGGGATTTAGGGACAGAATAATGCGGAGGTTGGGAGGGGGGAGGGGAAGAACGGGGACACAGGTCAGGAGTTCGAAGCAAGAACTGGAAACAGCAGTAAAGAAGAAAAGAAAATAAAGCACCACGAAAAGAAAAATCAAAGCAGCTTGGGCGTACGAATAAAAGCAAATTAGAAAAGATGTGAACCTATAACAAAAAGCAAAAGAAACTAAAAGTAAACGAAAAATCTGAGCCTATGCAACTGGAAATTGTCCTATAAAAACCCGTCGCCAATAGAAGACACCCTCATTTATGAAGCTGATGTTTAGGCAGAACAGGGCGAATGAAGCGATGCTGCGTAGGTAAAGCTAGGAACTCTCAGTTTTCCTATGCAGCAGTTTCATAAATAGCTGGAGAGGGGTTTTTACATAACAATTTTCACTCATAAGTTTTTGCTTTTGTCGAATCCTCTACTTGGTTTTTGTTTTTGATTTCTCAGTTTTTATTTGTTTTTGCT